AAAAAAAAAAAACTAGATAAATTATATAGCTCCGGGTGCATCGACTGTCTGACATGCGCAGTAGAAACGCGATTTGTAAGTGGGTTATTGATCGTCGACTATCGGTTTTTATAAATATATCATACGCTCCGCATCGAAAATAGCAATTTTTGACGATGGAAAAAAATAGAATAGACAGCAATCGAATTTTATTTCCATTCGTATATGACGTACATAAATGGTAGATAAGTAAAATTCTTACATAGGAGGTATCCTTTTAATTATCATTTTACAACGGACAGGTGGTTACAGTAACACTGCAAAGAGAATTAATAAATTAGTTTTTTTTTATATTTTTTTATATTAAGGAACAGACGGATAATAATTACGAAACACTGAAAATTTTTAAACAGTCGGCACTTTGTTACAACGTTAATGTTTCTCAGTTTTGCATTGTCATGCGAACTCGAAACTTAATTTGTACATTCGACTAACTATAGTCGCAGTTGAATGTGAAAGTAGTATCTGTCATTACTAGGAAAATATAATTGACATTGTCAAATGAAATTAATAATTCGCGATTAATTAAAATGTGCATGGTTGATTTCTCGAGAGTTCATATTCTTTAAAAAAAAAAAAATAGAAATCGTTTTAATTTCATCACGAAAGGGCAAATGTTACCGATACATAAATTCTTTATCGTTACACTTGGGAATGATAATAGAACATAACGGCGTGGCAATTAATTATCAAATTGCTTGAATAATAATTAAACTTCAATAATAATTAGAAATATAAAGGTATAAGTTATGTAATTCGGAGTGTCATTACGTACATGTATGTAATTCAAGATATCCCGTATTTTTTACAAATATCTTTGATAACAGTTACGAAACTAAGAAATAAATGCTTCATTTATATAAAAAAAAATCTCGCAAAAATCGCATTGATATAAAAGAAATTCATTTATTGAATCAGTAATATAAATAGGCGTAAAATAGTTTTCTTTCTAAATTACAGTGAAATTAATAACCTTGTTCGTTTTATTTCTATAGAGATTTCGAAAGAGGGTTTTCACTAGGAATTCTTTCGAAATAAAAATAGTAAAATTCATATATCGACTTCTATTTCGTGTTCAAATAAATCGAGTTGAAATAAACTAAGATTATTAATTTATATAATAGATTATAGAGAAATGAGAAGTTCTTCCTTTTTCCATTTCTTTCTTTTATTTTTATTTTCATTTTCATCATTATCTTAATGAATAACAGAGATTCTTTTATTCGACGATGTTCGGTAAAAATTTGCAAAAATCTACAAAAAAAAAATTTTCTACAAAGTTGTAAAAAGGCAAGACGTATATCTAATCTAGACACACTTATTATTACTTAGCGGAGAAAATCACGTGCGCAAGTTTTTGAACGAGTCATCCGGTCAAAGTACGTACGTAGATATCGAGATAGAAGTCGAGGTCAACAATTACGCAACGTGTAATTACGTGTTAATTACATTGACAATGAGTCCTGCCAGTCGATTATTGTTACAAAGTTCTTTCGTGGACTCTGGTCAGTATGTTATTCTCGAAAATTATTTGAAAATTTTTCCAATCGATTTCGACTATCTACAAATCTCAGTTGCTTCGAAGAAAGAAAAAAATGAATTTAATTTTCTCAAATGAGAAAAAAATTGAATTTAATTTTCTCAAATGAGAAAAAATTGAATTTAATTTTCTCAAATGAGAAAAAATTGAATTTAATTTTCTCAAATGAGAAAAAAATTGAATTTAATTTTCTCAAATGAGAAAAAATTGAATTTAATTTTCTCAAATGAGAAAAAAATTGAATTCAATTTTCTCAAATGAGAAAAAAATTGAATTTAATTTTCTCAAAT